ATGAGTGTGTGTATTTGTATATGCGTGTATGTGTGTGTGTGTGAGTATATTAGAGTGTGTGTATGGGGGTGTATGTGTGTATATATGTGTGTGTGTGAGTATATGAGTGTGTGTGTATGTATGCGTGTGTGTATGTGTGTGTGTATGTGTGTGGAGGAAGTACTGAAGACTATCCAGAGCGTGTGACCAGGAAAGGCACCGGGCAGAGATGATCTCCCAATGAAATGCTGAGGGAGGGTGGCGTTTGTGCACAGACTGCCCTACATGACATCATATCAACAGTCTGGACCACTGGACGGGTTCCGCCGGACTGTAAGGATGCCCTGGTGGTCCCTATCTTTAAGAAGGGAGACCTCACAGACTGTAACAACTACAGGGGCATCTCACTCCTCAGTGTGCCGGGAAAAGTCCTGACAAGGATTATTCAACACCGCCTTGCCAGGCTTTCTGAGGAGAGGCTTGCGGAGCCCCAATGTGATTACAGGAAAGGGCGGTCCTACAGCAGAGGTTTAGGGAATTCCAACAAGACCTACATCTCTGCTTGGTCAAGGCCTATGATACCATCAGTAGACCTGGGCTCTGGGTTGTTCTTCGTGCTTTCGGAGTCTCTCACCCGCTGCTAACGATCATTAAGGACCTTCATGATGGTGAGCGGGCCCAGGTAAAACTACGTGGCCGGGAGTTTCAGCCATTCCCTGTTCACTTTGGGGTGCAACAGGAATGTCCTCTGGCTTCAACATTATTTTACATATTTCGACCACGTAGTTCGTGAAGCCTTCAGTAGCTGTACCAGAGGAATTTCCATCTGGTACAGATACAATGGGAGGCGGATCGATGCCCGGGTGCGGTCAAGGGATGGCTCCCTATTGGTCAACCACGTTATGTATGCCGATAAAAAGGTAATTGCGGCTCACTCAGAGGAGGAGTTGGGGGCGCTGCTGCTGAAACTGGAGTGTGCCGCTAAGAGGTGGGGCCTTACCATCAGCCCCACCAAAACAAAGCACCTGCCTGGGTATTTTGTACCATCGGGCACTCTACCCAAACAACTCCCAATCGGTGATGGGGCAGTTGTGGAGAGAGTGGAGAGTTTCCCATACCTGGGCAGTGGGCTCATGACTGGCTCCGGTTTAACAGCAGAGGTCTCACTCCGAAGCAGTCGAGCAGCACTATATTTTCATCGGTTGCGTAACGCTGTGTGGAAGCTATCTGGTCTGTCGCTCTACACCAAGCTTCGGGTCTTCTCGGCCACAGTCATTCCCTCCATTCTCTATGCTTGCGAAACGTGGACCCCCCTAATTTAACATCTTCGCCGGTTAGAAACATTTAGGTTGGCCTGCCTACAATCAATTCATGGTTTTAATTAGGCTTGATTGTGTGACGTGCTCACAAATCCTTAAAAGATGTGGACAAATTCCCATCCGTTAGCTCCTCTGGCAGGCAAGACTGCATTGGCTGGCCCATGTAGCCCGCATGCCCAATCACCGCATGCCTAAACAGCTTTTGTTCGACCAGATCGAGGGGGCTAAACGGGCGCGGCACGGGCTAAAGAAGAGATGGAGTGATGTGCTACAGGAGGATGTGCAGCTGAGTGGACTTGATGACTGGTACCAGTAGTCTCAAGATCGGCCTCTGTGGAGGAGGCTCGTGAAGGACGCTACTGGGCAGGTTGAGGCAGTCGCCTTCCAAGAACAACGGAGTGTAGAGGAGCGACGCTCACAACAACGAGCAGAACGTCGGGTGGCTAAAGCACAGCAAGTTGCCACAGTAGGGGTCACAGGTGGTGCATCAGCCAGTCGACCTGTGGCATCTGAGTCTGCCCCGTCACTTCCTGCCAGCGGGCGTTCGATACTTCACGTGGCCTCAAGGTGCACATAGCCTGGCACAAACGTCGTGGTGACGTCACCGCCAATTAGTGGCGAATGGCGGTTGTTTTTCAGTCTATGTATGTATGTGTGAGTCGATATGTGTGTGTAAGTCTACGTTTGTGTGCGAGTCGATTTGCGTGTGTAACTACATATGTGTCTAAAGTCGATGTCTTTGTGTGAGTCCATATGTGTGTGTGCGTGTAAGTCGATGTGTTTCTATGTGTATGGGTCGATGTCTCTGTGTAAGTCCATGTGTGTGTCTGCCTTTTTCGCCCAGGCAACGCCGGGTACTTACAGCTAGTCCTGCTATAAACTACACTATACACGACTATGTACTACACTATATACTGCACTATACACTACACTATACACTACTATACACTACACTATACACTACACTATACACTACCATATACACTCTCGACGTCTCTTTCGTGTGTTTGTGAGTGACATCAGGACCACCGCTCTTCTTGTTACAGCTTCGCTGTTGTGGATGTGTTGAAACCTCTTCGTAACTGCGAGCCTTCGACACTTCACGTGGCCTCAAAGTGCACCTGGCCTGGCACGGGCGTCGCGGTGACGTCATTGTCACTTAGCTGAGAATGCCTGGGTGTTGGTATTGGATGGGGGTGATGATGGTGGGGGTAGTGTGGGTGATGGGGGTGGTGATGGTGGGGGTTGTGTGGGTGATGGGGTGGTGATGGAGGGGGTTGCGTTGGGGATGGGTGTGGTGATGGTGGGGGTTGTGTGGGGGATGGGGGTGGTAATGGTGGGGGTTGTGTGGATGATGGGGGTGGTGATGGTGGGGGTTGTGTGGGTGATGGTGGGGGTTGTGGGTGATGGGGGTGGTGATGGTGGGGGTTGTGTGGGTGATGGGGGTGGTTATGGTGGGGGTGGTGATAGTGGGGGTAGTGTGGGTGATGGGGGTGGTGATGGTGAGGGTTGTGTGGGTGATGGCGGTGATGATGGTGGGGGTAGTTAGCGGTTAGCGCGCTCCGCTATGAACCTGGCGACCCGAGTTCGATTCCCGCTCACGGCCAACACCAGTGACGATATCTGAACCGGTCCTGGGCCTCCCCTAGGTCGACTCAGCCTCAAATGAGTACCTGGTGCGGTGTGTAGTAAACATCGCCACTGGGGAGACAAAGGCGGTCGGTCGTGGTTTTGGCCACCCACCCCCTCGTGTACAGTGCCGGCCTTCATAGGTGATGCTCGCTGACAGCACTTGCCCCTACAGTCTGTTTCAAATTTCATTTATTTGGTATAGCCCTGTGAGCCATGCGCCTCTTAAGTCAAACTCAACAAACTAAATATGAACAGAGACCATCTTAAAGCGACGACGCACAATAGAAACATCCTGGATAAACCAGCAAATCTTGCAACAACAAAAAAACGCTGTGAGCAAAAATCCCAGTGTGATGCAAGTCAAACAATAACAACCATAATACAGTTTAGATTACCCATATGTTTTCGAAATCACCAAATAACGCTATAAAAAACAATGTAACAACAGTAATCATAGGATCTGTGATTTAAATGTAACAATAAACCATATATAAAACATGTACGCCCAAATGTTGCAGCCATAGCTGGCAGCATAACACTCCCAGTGTATGATGTGTGAGTGAGTCAGTGGTAGTGTGAGTGAGTGTAGGATGTGTGAGTCAGCGTATGATGAGTGAGTCAGCATATGATGCGTGAGTGAGTCAGTAGTAGTGTGAGTGGGTGTATGATGTGTGAATGAGTCAGCGTGTGATGAGGAAGTGTGTATGATGAGTGAATTAGTGTATGATGAGTGAATGGGTCAGTGGGGTTGTGTGAGTGAGAGTATAATGTGTGAGTGAGTCAGTGTATGATATGTGAGTGAGTCAGTGTATGATATGTGAGTGAGTCAGTGTAAGATGAGTGAGTGTTTCACGGCCTCCTCCCCTCGGCTCCGTCGGCTCCCTCGGCTCCGTCGGCTCGTGCCTCTCGCCCACCGCACGCCATCACGGCCAAGAGGCTGCGTCGTTGCAGGAGCTTCTCCTCGGCAGAGAGATGCGGGAGCCGCTGTCTCTTGCGGGGCCGCCGAGGCCGCACGCATGCCCAGCGCCTCATCCCTCATCCTCCAAGCCCGAAGCGGCCCCGGCCTCGGAGCTCGAGCTCCGGCCGGACCAGGGCGAGCCGAACCCTGCCCGCGAGCCAAGCGAGACCGAGGCTCCCCGGGGCACCAGGCCGCAGTGCTGGGACTCCACCACGACCATTGTCAACCCCTAACCCCTCACACACTCATTCCCTCACACACTCCCCCACACACTCACTCATTCCCTCACACATTCACCCCCTAACCCCTCACACACACTCATTTCCTCACACATTCGCCACTCGGGTCGCCTCCTCGCTTGCTATCCACAGCGAGCGAGGAGGCGGCCATCTTTTGATGTGTGGATATACGTGGAATCTTTGTCTTATTTTTTTTGTATGTGCCCTAAAAAATGTTTCCACATTCATCGTCTCGAGCTGATAACAACTGTGAACATTCCTGCGAAAATCGCCGAAGGCTGCACTTCGACTCGACCGTCAACCATCATGAACGCGTTTGTAAGGACTGCCGACAGCGCCGACAATCGGCTCTGGGGGGCGGGGCTGGGCGCTTCTTCCTTGCTGCTTTTGAAGATCGTTCACTCCGCCTCCCTGTCGAGCCCCCCCCCCCCATCCTCTCTTGAAGCTTCATTCGTCCCCACCCCTCTCGGCCAACCCTTGTCCACCTCCACCCGAAGGTCGTCAATAATCGCCTCCACCCCCCCACTTTGCTCAAGAGCACAGAAGCATGGCCACCACATCTGCACCTCTCTGTTTGTGAGGAACGAAACAGGTGGGCTTCTCCACAAATCTGTCTTTTGCCTGATGAAGCTGGTTGTAATTACTGGCGAAACGCCATGCTCAGATTGCAAATGTTGTGGCTTGGCTCTCCAATACACCGGTGTGCTGTACTAGTATATTACATTATACTCTACACTATACACTAGTACTGTAATAGTGACGAGCTGGCCACGTTCTGTTTATGTGACAACCCTTACCAGTTGGCTGTGTCGGGTTGTGGCGGGTTTTTACAACACATTTTAATATTTATGCGATCTAACCCAAAAAAAACCCCTCAATTATGGTCGCCACCACCATCGAACCTTCGCTTCTCCGCCTTTTTGCGGTTTTGAACCTCTCCTCCGACCCCCTTTTGAACCTCGCCTCCCGACCAATCACTTTTCGAGCTTTGTGACCTTCACTCTGTAACATTCACCACCTTGCCCATCACCCGACCTTGACCTCCGTGACCTTTCCCCCTCCCCACCCAGTCACCCTAAACTTGACCATTGTGACCATTGCGACCTCCGCGCCCTCTGCGGTCCGTCGCCCCGACAACCACCCGGGCGTACTCGACGCGGTCAGAGTCGCCGTCAGCGCCGCGACCCGCTCCTCCACGTCCCGCATGAGGGGTTGGACCCGGGCCTCGGCGGTTCAGCGCCCACTGGTCGAGCGCCGCATAGGCGACGATGTCGCCGTCATCGCCGCCGTATCCGCCGCCGTCGCCCTGCAGCGAGGCGTAGATCACGTGGGAGGGGTCGCGGGAGCCGGGGCCGAGGTGACCGCGGGAGGATTGAGCAGCGCGAGAGGGGTTGAGGGCGTGGTCGTCGAGCGATGCGTAGGTCACCCCCTCCCCGTCCAAGTGGTCCCGCACCTGAAACAACGGATGGCGAGATGCAAACCTGAACACGCTTCGATGATTGTGACGATGATAATCAAGATGATGTTCGCAATCGGCCTTGAAACTGAGAGGCCTAGACCGACCAGTTTTACGCACATAACAACGCCTTAAAATGCGAACAGTACAAGTGTAGGACTCGTACTCATACGACAGCTTCTTGTTTTTCTTGTCTCTTTTATTCACGCATATAGTTCACACCTCCTCCTCGTCATCATTCTATGCCTCTCCGTTCGCTCCAATGCATAACCCGCCATCATCATCACTCCATGTCTCTCTGTTCGCTCGCTCCGCTCCGCAGCTTCGCTCGCTCTCTCTCCCTCTCCCCCAAGGTCCGTTACTCTGCTGCTACCCTACTCTGTACTTGCTCCGTCCACTGCTACCCTATCTGTATTCTCTCTATCCACTGCTACCGTATGCTGTATTCTCTCTATCCACTGATAACCTATCTGTATTCTCTCTATCCACTGCTAACCTATCCGTATTCTCTCTATCCACTGCTACCCTATCTGTATTCTCTCTGTCCACTCTTATGGTATCTATTCCTGCTCCCTGCTGCTCCGTCTCTGTCCCGGGCACCAACCACTCCAACTCCAACACCAACCAAGACTCCCGTCTCTCCGCCAGGCTGTGCCTTTTATCCCCACACCAATCAGTCCCAATCAATTAGCTCATGCCCCGCTTCGCTACTCGCCCCCAGGCCCCCAGCCCCACGTGACCATGTTATCGCCGCCAGCTCGGTGTCAGTCATCAGCCACTCACCCTCCTGACCAATCACCGGCCTGCGTCCTCAGTTACCCCTAACACCTGTGGCGTCTCTCAACGATCCCCCCCTTAATGGAACGACAACAACAACTGTATCCTCAGTTGCCCCCACTGTACGCTAATCGCTTGCCTAGCAACAGAACGCGTGGCGCGTGATATTTCAAGTCCTACACAAGTACAATTCAAATCCAAATGTCCTTTGATTATAATATTAATAGTGTATGCATTGAACAGTGCTGCGTAGGGCACCACCCTCCTCCTCTTCCAACCTCCGAGGGGTGGTCCCGCGCCTGAAACGACGGACAGCGGGGGTGCAATCCTAAGAATAATTTGATTATAAACATGAACAGTACAAGGACAATGCAACTCTAAACATCCTTCCATTACAATAATTGTAATTATGATGATTAATAAAATAATATTGTAGGCATTGCCCTTGAAACTGATTGGCCCACGCCAGAGACTACAGCAATCTCCTCCGTTCCAACGGGATCCTTGAGCTGATCTCAGCCCCCGCACTCTTTACCTCTTGTGGTCTCTTGCAGGAGGCGAGCGGCTGCTGTGGTGGCGGCGGGCGTGGCGGTGACGACATCCTCCGAGCTACAGGACAAATACAAAAATGCAATTGACGACGACGACAACAACAACAACAGCAGCATCATCGTCGTTGTCATTGATGTTGTTGTTTATCACAATAAGGGAAATTTAGAAAACGCAGTCGTCCTTCGGTGAACAACGGCTAGGATATGTTAACTACCTCGCCTGGTACGCATGAAATAAATGAGTTTAGTTTTAGTATGGGTCTTGATGAGTATGGGTCTCTGTGGGTCTCTATGAGCCTGGGTCTCTGTGGGTATCTATGAGTATGGGTCTCTGTGGGTTTCTATGATTATGGGTCTCTGTGGGTCTCTATGAGCCTCTATGAGTCAGGGTTTCTGTGGGTCTCTATGAGTCTCTATGAGTCTGGGTCTCTGTGGATCTCGTTAAGTCTGGGTCTCTATGAGTCTTCATGTGTCTGGGTCTCTGTGGGTCTCTATGAGTCTGGGTTTCTATTGCCGGGTCCAAGTCTGAACAAAAAGCCACACAGCTCAGTAGAGGGGGGGCCTTGCACCTGGATAATAAAAAATAAAAATGAGATCACACGGCCGTGGGTTATCGTGGAAAAAACATCGTGGAAAGGTTGGTACGTCACGTCCCCTTCCTTGCTGCCCAGTGACCACGGGGGTTCGTGTGTAGTGTGTCTAGTGTGTGTAGTGTGTGTGTGTAATGAGTGGGTGTAGTGTAGTGTGTAGTGTACTGCGTGTATTGTGTAGTGTGTGACCAGGAAACGCACCGGGCAGAAATTATCTCCCAAGCGAAATTATTTCAGTGTGCCGGGAAAGGTCCTGGCATGGATTATTCAACATCGCCTTGCTAGACACGCTGAGGAGAGGCTTGCAAAGCCTCAATGTGGTGTCAAGTCAGGGCGGCCTTGCACAAATGCCATATTTTATGTCCGTCTGCTACAGCAGAGTTGTGGGAATCCCAATAGGACCTACATCTCTGCTTTATTGACCTGGTTAAGGCCTATGATGCCATCAGTAGGCATGGGCTCTGGGTTGTTCTTCATGCTTTTGGAGTCCCTGACTCTGCTGACGATCATTAAGGACCTTCATGACGGTGGGCAGGCCCGGTTAAAACTACATGGACGGGAGTCAGAGCCTTTCCCTGTTTACCTTGGTGTGTGCGACAAGGATGTCCTCTGGCTCCAACATTATTTTACATATTTTTCGACCACGTAGTTCGAGAAGCCTTCCATGGTTGTACTGGAGGAATCTCCATCTGGTAGAGGTGCAATGGGAGGCTGATTTATGTCCGGGTGCGGTCAAGGGATGCCTCCGTTTTGGCAAACCATGTTACATATGCTGATGATGTGGTGATTGCTGCTCAGTCAGAGGAGCAATTGGAGGCGCTGCTGCTAGCCCCATCAAAAAGTGAGCACCTGCATGGATATTTTGTGCCATCAAAAACTCCACCCCATATACTCCCTATTGGTGAGGGTGCGGTTGTGATGAAAGTGGAGAGTTTTCCATACCTGGGCAGTTTGCTTATGACCAGCTCTGGTTTGAATTCAGTGGAGCGGCGTTATCTTCTCATTAGCTGCATAATGCTGTGTGGAAGCTACCTTGTCTATTGCTCCGCACTAAGCTTCAGGTCTTCTCGGCCACAGTCATATCCTCCATTCTCTATGCTTGCAAATTTGGATCCCCCTAATGAAACATCTTCGCCAGTTAGAATATTCTAGCTGGTCTGCCTACCAACCATCCTGGGTTTAACCAGGCTGGATTGTGGTAGATGCTCACATATCTTATAAAAATCTGGACAAAGTCCCATCGGTGAGCTCCTCTGGCAGGCAAGACTGCTTTGGCTGGGTTATGTAGCCCGCATGCCCAGCCACCGCATGCATAAACAGCTTTTGTTCGGCCAGATAGAGGGGAATAAACGGGAGCGCATGGGCTAGAGAAGAGATGGAGTGAGTGGTAAAAGAGGTTGCGGAGCTGAGTGGTGCCAGCGGTGTCAGGATCGGCCTCTGTGGTGGAGGAGGCTCGTAAAGGACGCTACTAGGCAATTGGAGGCAGTCGCCCTCCAACAACAACAGAGGGCAGAGGAGCGACGCTCAGAACAATGAGCGGAGTGCCGGTGGATAAAACACGTCAAGTTGGCACAGTAGGGGCCCAGGTAGTGCATCAGCCAGTCATCTCACTTAGTCAACACATGGCACCTGGGTTTGTCCCGTGACCTCCTTTCAGCAGGCGTTCGACACTTCACATGGCCTCAACGTGCACATAGCCTAGCACAATCGCCGTGGTGACGTCCCCGCCACTTAGAGGCGAATGGCGATTGTTGTTCTTGTTATAGCTATATGGTGTATAGGTGTGTAGTGTGTGTGGTGTGTGTGGTCTATAGGTGTGTAGTGTGTTTGTTTTTGGTATCTGTGTAGTGTATATGTGGTTGTGTGGTGTGTGTAGGTGTAGTTGTGTATATTGTGTGTGTAGTTGGAGTGTTAGTGTAGCGGTTGGCGCTATGCTGCACTATGACCTGATGTCCCGAGTTCGATTCCTGCTAACGGCCAACACCAGTGGACGATTATTTGAAACGGTTCTGGGCCTCCGCTAGGTCGACTCAGCCTCAAATGAGTACCTGGTGCGATGTAAAAACATCACCAGTGGGAAGACAAAGGCGTCCGGGGGCGGTGCTGGCCACTCACTTCCTCGTGTGCCGTGTCAACCTTTATAGGTGCTCGCTAACAGCATTTGCCCCAACAGTATGTTACAGGCTACACGGAGGGGTTGTTGTCTTTTTTGCTGTTTGTGTAGGTCTAGGTCAACTCAGCCTCAAATTAGTACCTGGTGCGGTGTGTAAACATCGCCACTGGGGGAGATAAAGGCAGCCAGGTACGGTTCTGGCCACCCTCCCTCCTCTGTGTATGCCACAGTGCCGGTAGCCTTCATAGGCGCTGCTGCTACTCGCTACAAACAGCACTTTCCCCTATCGCCTGTTACAGGTGACAAGGGGAGGGGGAAATCTTCGTCATTGTACCATCATAACTTCTCACCTTTTTGGCGGTGGTAAATGGTGAGGCACGTGATCGCGATGAGCATCAGGATGATGAGAACAGGGGACCAGTAGATGTAGTGCTGAGTACCTTCTATGAATACAAACAACATAATAATAATCATAGTATAATAATAGGTCACATCCTTTCTGGCAATAAAAGAGGAGTCGTGTGAATATGTTCAAACACCAATCAGAAACCTCGTGTCACTGCATTAACCACACGCGGTAAAGGTGGTGAACAAGCAAACAAACAACAAATAAGCTCTGCTAATTTATGATGCACTAGCGGGAAGTACCCGGCGTTACCTGGGAGAAATTATATTTCAAAACTTATATTAAAAACACAACATAGTAACTAGTAGTAAAACATAAAATGTTCATACACAAACACTAAGCTATTGTGAAAGCACGGCGTGCCGTTTTTCTATCCATTTTTCCATCAACAAATTTTTAAGAGGCTTGCAGAAGCCCAAAAAGTTAGAGAAAGTGGGGGTAAGTAGTTGATCTAAAAGGTTTCCGAAAATTGTCGACCCCACCTCCTAAAAAAATGTGTAGCCCCACGTAGGCATATATACCTACACATGCTACATACAACAGAGTAGTATCTAGTGATGATAATAGGTTTTCCCCTTTTTTCTGGCAACAAAACAGGTGTTGAGATGTTGAACTGAAATATTTTACGAGGAATCATGTCTGCATTAACCACAATACTTGTGGTCAGAATGCAAACAAAAAAACATACTCTGATAATATATGCATTGTCTTTGAAATGTATTGGTCCACACCAGAGACAGCTTTCTTTTGAGCCTAGTCCCAAACAATGTTAGACCAGAGGATGCCAACAGGCGTTTAGGACTAGGCTAAAAAAAAGCTGTCTCTGATGTGGAACCGACCGGGTCAGTGTTCGGACTTGGCCCAAAGGGTAGTTGCCGCGTATGTAGGTTCGTCCGCTGTTATCGGTATGATACAGGGGATAGAAATTAGGATGCTCATCAATACCGGTGCATCCGCGACCTTCATTTCCGAATTAATTCGTAACATATTGCCCCGAAAGTCTCGTACCCTGTGTCCCTTCGGGGTTCCGTGCTTTGCAGCAAACGGTGGCTCATTGGGCATTATTGGACAGATAATGGCAGAAGTGTCCATTAGAGATATCAAATTGACGGAACCAGTTCTTGTTTCGACGTCCCTTGCTGTTCCTTGCTTGCTTGGGACTGTTTTCCTGGGGAAGATGCCCCTGAAAATTGTAATAGATCAGGGATGTGTCGAGTTGCCATCGGGCCACCAGTTGGCCTTTTTTCCTTCGCCCACTCGATTGCATATGGCCTATGCTACAGTACAAGCACTTGCGAGCAATAACCGTAACGACTCCTCCCGGGGTGCAAATGCTAGTGCCCTTGCGGTTACGGAAGCCACTTGACCATAATGCGACTGCGGGAGGAATCCTACTAGGACCCTCACACAAAGCCGTTTATGGGTTGAAGTTAGTGGAAGCTCAGCCTCTGGTGTCCAATGACCAGGAACCGTTTATTCAGGTCCTCAATGCAGGGTTGGACACGTCAGTCATACAGCCGGGCACAGTGCTAGCCCACGTGTCGCCCGCGCTTTTCGAGGGGAAAATATTTGGTGGAGTGGGGGCTGCATCGGTTACAGAGCTGCAGCGGCATTCTGATGGATGTGCTCTGCTCTGAAAACCCAGAATTATCCGAGACTCAGAGGAAGACGCTTTTGTGTGAATTCTCTGACGTGTTTAGCAAGGGCAAATTCGACATCGTCCACACTACCCTTTTGAGTCACCACATCGATAAGGGCAATGCCATCCCCATCCGGCAGATTCCCTAACGGCTGAGCCCCCAAAAAAAGGACCACGTACGTCTTGCAGTTGATGAGATGTTGACCGCCGATATTATCTCACCATCCAATAGTCCATGGGGGGCCCTGATTGTTCCTGTTAAGAAGCAGGATGGTAGTTTGTGCTTCTGCGTCGACTTCCGCAAACTTAATAAAATTAATGTGGCTGACACGTACCCTCTCCCACGAATGGATGATTCCCTGGATGCTCTGGCAGGGACACATTTTTTTTCAACTCTTGACCTCCTATCGGGATTTTGGCAATTGCATCTGGATGAGTCTTCCAAGCCCAAGACCGCCTTTCACACACCACAAGGCTTATTTGAATTTAATTGGCTCCCGATGGGTCTTCACTCTGCTCCAGCTACGTTCCAGCAGCTGATAGAGCTCGTTCTAGCTGGCTTCCAGTGGGATTTGTGTCTAATATATCTTGATGATGTTATTGTTTTTAGCCGTACATTTAAGCAACATCTGGAATGGTTATGCGCTGTCTTTCCTAAAATGCATGCGGCAAACCTAAAATTTTAACCACAGACGTGTCATCTGTTTAAAAAATCAGTTCAGTACCTCGGCCACATTTTCAGTTAGTAAGGGATAGCGAGGGACCCTGACAAAACCGCGTGCGTGTGTTCATGGCCGACCCCCAAGTTGGTGGGTGAGGTGCTGAGTTTTATAGGATTTGCGTCCTATTACCACCGTTTTGTCGCCGGGGTTGCCACTACCACCAAGCCTCTCCACTCCCTGATGGCAAAGGGTCAGAAGTTTCATTGGGGGAAGGAGGAGGAGGCAGCATTTCTTGCGCTCCGGGATGGCCTGGTGAACGCCCCTCCCCTCCGATACCCAGATTTTTCTTTGCCGTTCGTCCTTGAAACGGACGCTAGCAACATCAGAATTGGCGCTGTTCTGTCTCAAGTCGTGAATGGCATGGAGAGCTTTGGAGCATTTGGCAGCAGAGTGCTGTCTCGGGCCGAGCAGCGATACTGCGTTACACGCTGGGCTCAGGGCACTGTAGGATGGCTGCCGAGGCCTTGCCCCTTCCCCTTGTGGCGTCGGTGGATCCCGACGGTCCCGATGCACGTGACGCCGCTATTGGTCTGGACCATGCAGAGTGGGGATGCCTCCAGGCGGAGGACGCTTCCCTGTTGAAACTGCGACGCCGTCTCAAGGGTGCCAAAGGGGGAGAAGATCGATGGGGGGTGTCCTCTGTTATCCTCAAAGGTGGGTTGCTGATGCGCTGGGATGGGGGGTTACGCCATTAAAATATTGTCGTGCCCACTGCCCTGCGGGGTAAAATCATTTGGGCAGTGCACGTGCGACTGCTGCACCTGGGTGTGCACAAGACGCTGGCCAAACTCGACTTTTTCTAGCCCGGTATGGCGGAGGATGTCGCTAACGTGTTGAAGGGGTGCGGAAACCACCATCTAAACCTTGTTGTCCACCTTTGCCATCCATTCGGGTCTCCCGTATAAATGAGCTGGTCACGCTTGATGTCCTCAGTCCATTTTTAACCACTCCCCGCGGGAATAAGTATTTACTAGTGGGCTTCGAATATTTTTCACGATGGCTGATGGCCTGGCCGCTTCCTAACCACAACCAGTCGGCAGTGGCTATCACTGAGGCATTCCTCGACGGTATGTGCTAAACAAGGGAGCCCCGGAGCATCTCCTGACCGATCAGGGTAAAACTTTTCTTCTAAATTGTTACGGGAAGTGTGCGATTTGTTGGGAATAAAAAAAATGCACATTGCCCTTCAGAGACTTTCGGAAGCACGCGAGGAAACAAGGGGAATTCGATTTTCCGCCAAAAGGCAAATGAGCGGCTGAGGGATCTCTTCCTTTCAGGACATAAGTGGGCTCCAAGTGACAGGTACCGGTGGACACGTTGCCCAAATTGTATAAACCTTGAAGGGGGTCTCAGTGTGTTCAAATTCGCTGGGTTGGACGAAGTTGGTTCATTCACCCATCACGCCTCAAACCTTTCATTGCGCCGCGTGAATTCATCACATAACCAGTACGCAAGGGCCGAGTGTCGGGTGTGTTGGGTGAGCTGTGGCGTGCACCCACTGAGGTTGGTCCTCAGGGGAGTTATGTGATCCTGCCCACAGGTTCCGAGCATTTAACACCCCCTGAACCGCAGCCTGGGCTGTGGGGGAGCCGTGGAGGTTGCGGTGGTTGGGGCGTATTTTCGGATCAGCGGGCTACAGCAGCTTCATGGGAAGGGACAGCCCCGGGTCTCGATCGCTTCGCCAGACGCTGCGGTTCCACCCCGGCTCGGCGCGCAGGGTCGAATTGTCACATCGGAGCGCGTTTACCTGCCCACTGACATTTCTGCCCGTGCCACCGCGCGCTACGACCACGACGACGAAGAAGAGGGAGGAATGACGGGGGGGGCCCAGGTGCAGCAAAGGCGAGTGCGGTGCCGCGAGTGCGTGAATAAGATCGGCGGCTTCGCTCATCCGGGCCCGTCCGCGAACGCAGCGAAACGGCAGCGCGGGGCACGCCGAGAAGTAGCCCAGACCCCTTCTCCTCCTCTCCCCTCCTCACCCTCCTTCATCGTCGCTGATACTTGTCTAACTCTTGTTCTCCTTCCTCCTCGGCGGTGGTTGTTGGCGCTCTGTAAACTTTTGCGAGGAGTTTTCCGCGTGAGCGATGCAATGGCCCGATGTTTGGTGAATATCCTCCGATAGACGTCGGGTTTTACGCGTGCCAGCGCGGCCAACACCCCCCCCCCCCCACTTCGTTTCGTTTGCCCACTTGTGTTCACCGGCGGCAGAGCGCCGACTGCTCCTCGTGAGGAGCTGTGCTAGTCAGAACATTTTCAAATTCACCCTGAGAAGCCCAGGGAGCTTATGCCCACCTCGCCTGGGAGCATGGCTACAAAGAATCATTCCAAGACTGTTCAGTTCTCGTGACCCCCACACACACTCCCACGACGTCGGTTGGTTGTCACACTCGTCAGTCGAATTGGTCATTGGCTTAACCTGGCCTTTATTGTGCTCATGGGTGTTGTTACACGTTGAGGGTGGGTGATGCTGGTGCAGGGGGGGGGGGGGGAGTTCCCGAAGTTGTGTGTTACCGCTCGTTTTTTTTTCTCTTTCTCTCTCTTCTATTGTGTCATTGCCCTATTGTTGTTTTCTGTCCCTCTGTTCCCTTCCCCCATTCATCACTGTGTAATGCGGGCATAAACGGCCTCGCGGATATGACGTCACGGGGGGAGGGGTTAGGTCTTAAGGGAGAGAACCGGAAGAGACGGGAGGAGAGTATGGGAATAGAGACAGGGTGAGGCCACGCAGGGCGGAGAGTGGAGAGTGGCGAGATCGCCACACAGTGAGACTCGGCACCGTCGGCCAGCGGTGACCGAGCAAGGGAGGAACGGGGAGCAGTGGTGGAGCTGCAGTGAGAGCAGCCGGAGGACTGCACAAGGGAACCTGCAGCGGAGCTGCATCGGAGCGGAGAAAGGCTACGGGAGCGACGGCAGCTGTCGAGCTGCCAAGCGGGGAGGCTCTGAGCGAGGGCCGTGTGGGACAAGTTGTAAGAACCCGAATAAAGAACAACGGAGACAGACACAGTGAAAGAGTCCTTTATTACAACTGTATATAGTGTAGAAATTGTACATAACCGTTGTTTATATGTATTTGTTGAGGCGCGCTGGGGGCTTTCTTCTGTTTTTAGGGGGGAGTTGACAGCCGGGATGCTGTTGGTGCAGTACCGGCCCTAGAGGGGCACGGTGGAGTGACATCGCCGGATGGCACCATGCTGTAAGTGCAGTGCCGGCCCTAGAGGGCATGGCACGTGTGTGCCGACCTAAGGGGACGGTCGTGTGAGGCCATGGCACTCTGGTTGATCCGGGAAGACACGTGACCAGTTTGAATGACAGGGGGGCCCCCAAGAGGAGGTTAGGAGGGTCACGTGATTCGAACCCAGGTTCTTCCTGACGGTTGTAGAAAGGGGGCATGGCCAAGGGCAGAGCAGGCCACACCAGAGAGAATATAAGCCGAGTCCCGAGAGGGATCTTCGTTTTCCATCCCGGGGAAGAAACCCTTGGTTTACGATCTCCGTTCTTCGAGTCTTCCAGCACGTGGACCCAGGCAGTGTGTTGTTGGTCGCCGGTCCAGAGTTAATAGTTACTTAGTAACCAGTGTAGGTGTAGTTAGCCAGGGTGGTCACCACCCTAGGTTGGGGTGGTGTGTTGAAAATAAATAAATGCACTGCCTCCAAGTTTAAGAGTGTGACTCAGTTGAACCCACTACAGTAGTATTTACTTACTGTAATAGTATCTTCTGAGCCCAGTAGCAGCTACTAACTGTATAGTAGTGTCTACTGACTGTAGCAGTAACTGCTGACCGTCGTAGTATCTACTGACCTTACAATAGTATCAACTGACTCTATAGTCGTATCTACTGACCTTACAATAGTACCAACTGACTCTATAGTATCTATCGACTGTAGTAGTATCTACTCACTGTATAGTAGTATCTGTCGACTCTATAGTAGTATCAACCAACTCTATAGTAGTAAATACTGACTCTAGGTAGTATCTGGATTCCTGCAGTCACGAAAGCTTCAAATCAAGAACGAACTTCACAAAGTGCCGTGGTGAGGACTAGTCCCGTGCAGAGTCCCCGGCCTTGCCTAGATTGCCGAGCCAGTCGAGCCCAGCTGGGGCTGGGCTGCTACCCCCCCCCCCCCTCTGCCTACTCTAAAGTAATAGTATCCAAGAACTATAGTAGTAGTATCTACCGACCCTATCGTAGTAAGTGAACACATTGGGGTGGGGAAGAGGAAATGACATAATTTACCTCAGCGTTGTGTATTTTTTTTTGCATTTTTAACGCGAATGAGAATTCCCCCCCCCCCCTCCCCCGATTGCGTGTGTGCATTGCTCGGGCCAACGACCATGAGTCAGCGTTCTCGTGCATGTGCAGATGCATGCTCTGGCTCCGCCCTGTGCTTATAAAATTAATAAATTGTTAATTTAACTGCTATAAAAGTTGACGGATGGGAAAAAGAAATCGCGATTTGTCGGTCAGGGGCTTAACACGTCGTACGTGAAGCCAGCAGTTTGTGAGTTAAATGCGTCACAAGTTGTTTCCACACACACAGATGGACAGACAATAAATGACTTTCATGGGTAAGATTGTCTTTGAAACTGATTGGTTTGGTGCGGTGTATAAACATCGCCACTGGAGAGACAAAGGCAGCCGGGCATGGTGCTGGCCAACCACCCCTCGTGTGCTGTGCCGGCCTTCATAGGTGCCTGCTAACAGCACTTGTCCCAACAGTCTGTTAGACGCTATACGGGGCATCTTTGACTTTGTGTGTGTGTAGGCGTGTGTGGGGCTGGGGTGCAGTGTCAGCAGTTAGTGCTGCCCCGCGCCACAAACCCGGCGGAGACCCGAGTTCGACCTCCCACTCACGACAAATAACGGGGCCGAAAATGTCGGACCGCTCCCTGCGTCTTCTCTTTCCCTCCTAGGCCGACTCAGCCTCGAACGGCCACGGTCTCCGTACCTGATAACGCTGTCGTCACCGTCACGATGTCGCTCCTCTCCGTCGTCGTATTTGCCCCGCCCACTTTGTTGTTGACCTCACAGGCGAACGCGTCACCGTGCCGCGCGTCGTGCAGGGTCCACGTCTCCGTGTGGACCCCGGTCTCTGTGAGGTTCCCCCCCGAGCTCTCGTCCCCCCTGAGCCACGAGTAGTAGATGGGAGGGGAGCCCTGGTGCACGACGCAGCGCAGATACAAGGAGCCTCCCACGTGCACCGCGGGGTCACGAGGAGAGACATCGGGCTTTGACACGGCAACTGAGACACAGACACACAGAGAGAGATGTGGAGATTACTAAGTGTTATAGTGTAGTCTATAGTGTAGTGTATAGTGTGGTGTATAGTAGTGTAGAGTGTAGTATATAGTAGTGTATAGTGTAGTGTACAGTAGTGTAGTGTATATAGTCGTGTATGTATAGTTTAATGGGTGGTGTTGTGTATTGTGCAGTGTAGTGTATAGTATAGTATTGAAGGATGTTCAGTGTATAGTGTGGTACAAGAAAAGTAGTGTATTATGTAGTAAATAGTGTGTATTGTAGTGTAGTGTGTAATGTAGTGAATAGTGTAGTTCATAGCAGTGTAGTGTATAGTGTATAGTAGTGTAGGGTATAATAGTGTATATTCAAGTTTAAAGAAGTGTAGTATATGTTGCAGTATGTAGAGTCGTGTGTAATGTAGTGTATAGTAGTGCAGGGTATATTAGTGCGTATTGTAGTATAAATAAGTGTTGTATATGTTGTAGTATGTAGTGTATACGTAGTGTCGTGTGTAATGTAGTGTATAGTGTAGTGTATGATGAAATTCTCTTCCACCAAACGAAGCCAACCGTGCTAATCGGAGATTAGCACGGTTGGCTTCGTTTGGTGCTAATCGGGTGAAGCACAACAAACCAATCATTCTCTCACTCACCCACTCACTCGCCCACTCACTCACTCGCTCGCTCACTCACTCACCCACTCACTCACTCACCGACTCACTCACCCACTCGCTCACTCACTCATCCACTCACTCGCTCACTCACTCACTCGCTCACTCACGCACTCACTCACTCACGCACCCACTCGCTCACTCACTCACTCGCTCGCTCACTCACTCACTCACCCACTCACTCACTCACCGACTCACTCACCCACTCGCTCACTCACTCACTCACTCGCTCGCTCACTCACTCACCCACTCACGCACTCACTCACCGACTCACTCACCCACTCGCTCACTCACTCATCTACTCGCTCACTCACTCACTCACTCGCTCACTCACCCACTCACACCCCCACTCACCAACAGTGACAGTAACCTCACCATGGCGCCTGTGCTAGGGCAGGTGCACTTTGAGACCACGTGAAGTGCCTAAGGCTCGCTGACAGGAGGTCATAAGACAAACCCAGCCGGTGCCATTGATTGACTGACTGGCATATGAACCACTCGTACCCCCTTCTTAGTCAACTTGCTGATTTTAGCTGCCTGGCGCTCTGCTTGATGTTGTGAGCGTCGCTCCTCTGCCCTCTGTTGTTCCTGGAGGGCGACTGCCTCCAACTGCGTAGTAGCAAGGTCCTTCACGAGCCTCCTACACAGAGGCCGACATTGACACCGCTGGTACCAGTCATCAGCAAGTCCACTCAGCTCCACATCCTCTCATAACGCATCAGTCCATCTCTTCTCTATACGTTGTCGTGCACGTTTAGCCCCCTCTATCTGGATGAACAAAAGCTGCTTGGGTGTGTGGTGGCTGGGCATGCGGGCTACATGACCCAGCCACCACAACCTTGCCTGTTGGAGGAGCTCACTGACGGGAATGTGCCAAATCGTTAATGGATTTGTGAGCTGCTCACACAATCCAGCCTGGTTAAACTCAGGATTAATCGTTTGTACACACGCCTGAAAGTTTCTCACTGACACAGAAGATCCAGTCGAGGGGTCCACATTTGGGTAGCATAGAGAAGGGGGGGGGGGGGGTGACCGTGGCCGAGAAGACCTGAAGATTAGTGTGGAGCTACAGACCAGGTAGCTTCCACTCAGCGTTACGCAACCGATGAAAAGATAATGCCGCTCGACTGATTCAGAGTGTGACCTCTGCTGTCAAACCATAGCCGGTCACGAGAAAACTGTCCAGTATGGGAAACACTCCATTCCCTCCACAACTGTCCCATCACCAATTGGGAGATGTGGGGGTGGAGTATCTGATGGTACACAATACCCAGGCAGGTGCTTAGTTTTGGTGGGGCAGATGGTAAGGCCCCACCTCTTGGTGGCTTGCTCTAGGTTCAGCAGCAGCACCTCAAACTCTTCCTCTGAGTGAGTAGCAATTACTAGATCATTGGTATACGTAACACGGTTGACCAATAGGGAGCAATTCATTGACCACACCCGGGCATCTGTACCAGATGGAAATTCCTACCGTACAGCCATCGAAGGCTTGGCGACCTACGGGGTCAAAATAAATGTGAAATAATGTGGGAGCCATTGGACATCTCTGTCGCACCCCAAGGTGATTAGTGAATGGCTCCGACTCCTGGCCATGTAGTTTTATCATGAAAGTACTTAATGATCATGAGCAGAGAGTCAGGGACTCCATAAGCACGAAGAACAACCCAGAGCCCAGGCCTAGCGATGGAACAACAGGCCCTGACCAGATCAATAAAGCAGAGATGTAGGTCTTGTTGGAATTCCATACACCTCTGCTGTAGTAGATGGACAGAAAATAAGGCATCTGTGCAGAACCCCTTTCCTGAAACCAGATTTGGGCTCCACAAGCCTTTCCTCAGCGTGCCTAGCAAGGCGATGTTGAATAATCCTTGCCAGGACCATTCCCGGCACACTGAGGAATTTTTACAGTCTGTGCGGTCCCCCTTCTAAAAGAGGGGGACCACCAGATTATCTTTCCAATTCTGCTGAACCCGTCCCATGGTCCTGACTGTTATAATGATGTAATGTAGGGCAGTCTGTGCACAAACGCCACCCTCCCTCAGCATTTCGTTTGGAAAATCATCTTCGCCCAGTGCCTTTCCTGGTCTCAGACTTTGGATTGCCTTCAATACTTCCTCAACAGATGGCACCTCAGCCAGCCACTCACAGGGGGGTAACTACTTCTTACAATATTTGAGGCACCGTAGCCTCAGTAGGGTCATCCCCACTTTGCTTCGTAATGTTTTCCAAATCTTCAAACCTATTCCTGGGGGTCTGAGATTGGATCAACGTTCGTTTGCTTAATTATGGTGATTGGTGAGGTACTTATTTGATGGAATTAAATATCAATTTGTGACCGCGGGCCACTAAAGGCAGAATCCATCTCCTCAGCAACCCGTGACCACCAACCATCCTTGCAGTGCCTCATGGCTCTCCGAACCTCCGAGTGGAGGCTGCAGTAGGCCTCCTCATTCTCTGATGTGGGATGCTGTGGACGATGAGAGTGGGCCTGTCGCTTTTTATCAGCCAGCCTGAACACCTCATCTGTCAGCCAGGGTCTCTGGGGAGGTCTGGACCGTGAAACCCAATGCAGCCATTGCAGCTGCATGAGCCACAGTCCTAAATCTTGTCCATTTCCCCACAACATCCGGCGAAGTGGGGGATCGATGCCAACCCCAGCTTCAAGCGATGATGACATTATTGCTTGCAACTTCCATCACCTAGCTGAGACCAGGCCACTATGGGCTTGAATGGGGTACTGGGTGTACACCCACCACTAAAGTGGAAGAATGGCAGGCACATCTTACAGATGACAAGTCGATGGTCAGTGGGACGATCGGCTCCACGGTAGGGATTTTCTTCCAATCACTCCAAACCAGGTCCCAGCATAATGACCATCTTGTGCATGTTGTTACCCAACAGGATGACTCTATCCCGAGGGGGCACTTTAGCTTGGACCTGTGACAGGAGGTCAAAGAAGGCATTTGACTCATTGGCCTTGCCTGCATCCCTCCATTGATGTTCATCATCGGTTGGGGCTTAAGTAACCACGACCACCACTCCTCACCTCTGGTTAATGGGAAGGCGAGCCCAAAGAAGCAGGGGGGCTGACAGCTTCCCACACCTCACCGCCACGCTCCCGCACCCCCTTCATCTATTTGTTCAGAAGAAGAACCACTCAATGTTGTTTGGCAGTCTCCTGCCCCGAGTAGAGGACTGTTCATCCCTCATCGTGGCAGCAACCAGAGCCAGTCCACCAGACCTCCTGAATACCAAAGCGATCCAGGCGGTACCGGTCCAGCTCCCGACAGAGGAGTGGCAGCCTCTCCTCTGCAGTGAGCCTTTGCACATTCCATGTAGCCACCCGCAGTGGCTTTTTGTTGTTTCTGGAGGAACCCTGAAGGTAAGGATTCAGTCTCCTCGCTAAACCAGATCGGGGTTGGCCAGGAGACGTCACAGATGCCTGTTCCCCCGGGGCATCCGGCACAAGCTTAGTTGGATATGTTTCACGTGGTTTTGTGGTTATTAAATTGAAGGTGGTGGGGCTACCAGCCCATCGCACCCGTCCACTCTAACACACCCACTCACCTACTCACACACACCCACTCAACTCACACACACACCCACACAACACACTCAACTCACACACACCCCCACTCAACTCACACATAGCCACTAATCTACTCACACAGCCACTCAGCTACTCACACACACACACTTAATACGCAACAATAACCACCATTCCCCACTAAGTGGCGCTTGTGCCAGGCTATATGCTCTTTGAAGCCATGTGAAGTGTCGATCACCCGCTGGCAGGAGGTCATGGTACAGAGGACTGGCTGATGCAACACCTGTGCCCCCTACTGTGCCAACTTACTGTATTTTATCCACCGGGCACTCTGCTCGTTGTTCTGAGCATCTCTCCTTTGTCTTTCATTTTAGCTAGAGGGGGACTGCCTCCAACTGCCCAATAGCGAACTTCACACTCACACACCCACATACTCACAGACCTACTCAACACACTCACATACACACACCCACACACTCACAGAGCTACTCAACACACACACTCACACACCCACTTACCTTCATTGATATTCACATGCTCGGTCCATGACACATTAAAGGCGCTGCCCTTGTACTCCCACCAAAGCGAGATCATGAACTCTTCCGCGTCCTCCCGTGTGAGCCCCTTCAACTCGACTGACTGCAGGACTGCTTTAGATTCCGTCACCACCGCCACTCTGTCCACGTAGCCAGCCTCCGGCCTGAGACCTGAGTTGTGATCCCAGGTCAGGATCCTCACTGGCTCTGCCCATGCTCTGTCAACCTTTCTGGGATGCTGGAGGGAGATGTTTAGGAGGCGGCAGTCGGCAGGGGGCTTGGTCAGAGTGAAGGACAGGGAGCCACCGACCACCGCCCGCGACTTGGAGAAGTTCACCAGGCAGGCTGTGAGGAGGTGGTCGAAGAAGATGTTGTAGAGAGAGAGGGAGAGAGAGCGAGCGCAGGGTGGACATAAGGGAGAGAAAAATACGCATCCTTGGGGCAATGTAAACATTCAGACAGCTGACGATCGCCATGTCAGACAACTTGGGCTTCGAGCGAATCTGCCACTAGTGTTTTTTTTTCTTTATATTTTTTCCGCATACAAATGCAGGAACAACAGGAATTCACCAGCTGGATACACAGCAAACCAATTCACACCTGTCAACCCCTTATCAGTGCTGCCTACATTATTACAGACCATTTCAGACCTTAATGGTCACGCTGTGCCCCAAATAAATCTCAAAGTTCATCTCAGAAAGTCCCATCCCAAGGGATAAACACAAACAAATAAACAAACATTGTTTTTGTTTTGCCCGTATTGAAATGCCATATGGAACTGAACTGAAAACTAAATATCCCCTGCACAACAATACGGGGTAAACCGAATGTATCGACAGCAATACATTGGCCGGCACAAGAATGTCTCCCGTGGACTGCGATCTGTCGACGAGGCCAAACGGAATCGATCGTTCCACGTGGCGTGTTGCATTTCGCCCCCTTTTTTTACTTCCTCCCTTCCTTCCATCTCCACGATGCGATGAGATAGCATCGGATACGGAGTCGTCACTAGACGAGTGACCGTGGTGGTGGCAGAAGTGGTGGTGACATGGGGGCAGCCAGTCCTCCTCCCCCCTGCTCCTACTTCCCCCTCGTCTCCTCCTAACATCGACCACCACCACCACCTCGTCCCATCTCCTCCCACCTCCTCCACAACAGACAAACAGTCTGCATCTCTGCGCTGCTACGGAATCTCAGCGGGTGCGCCGCTCACTATGCCCAGGCGGGATGACTCACGGTTGAGCACAGTCAGAAAGACGTTCTCGCTATCCGTCCACTCGTAGGTCTCGTGCCTCCAGGCGACCTTGACCTCGTAAATGCCATCGTCCTCCATCCTCAGCTCCCGCAGTCGGAGCCACGCTGTGCCACCTCCATCGCTCCCCAGGTCGTTTCCCGGGCTCAGGTCCACCCTACCCCGGTACTGAACCGAGCTCTCGGACGGTGTCCAGCGTCGGGTGGAGGCGTCGTAGGTGGCCATGCGGTCGTCCCTGCCACTCCGGAACCACGCTGCTGTGGTGACCTCGCAGCCTCGAGGGGCAGAGATGCGGGCATTGAAGAAAATGGTCGAGCCCACGGTGGCTTTGATGTGAACCTGGGATACCTCGATATGGCAACCTGTAACGGACACATGGGGTGGGGGTGGTGGTTGGGAGTGGGTGGTGGGTGTGGGTAGGTAGGTGTGGGTGAGTGTGTGTGTGGGAATGTCGGTGTGGGTGGGTGTGGGGGTGGAAAGGCGGTGTGAGGTGATGGAGCAGAGACAGGAAAACACGGTGCTCTAGAGGAGATGTTAACTGCTTCGCCTGGTATGCAGAAGGTCGTGGGTTCGATTCTGAACCCTGACCGATGCCTGCTATGTATTTGGCGACATGTTAACTACCTCGCCTGGTATACAGGAGGTCGTGGTTTCGATCCTGGTCCCTAACGCCCATGGTGGCCAGGAGATGTTAACTACCTCGCCTGAATGAACGTTTCATCCGTTTATTTTTCTTACAAGTACAACTTACAGTGGATCATTGATAATTATCTGGCAGCGCACGATTATCCAGCTGCTTCCAACATTATCCAGTGGTGGTCCCGGGCCGATCTGGCGAAACCGGCAAAACCAACCTGAAGCCAGTTACCAGTCCAGCTATCGGCACCACGTGCATGTGGAAAAACAAAATAGCTACGCTTTCATCTTCTTGGTTCTTTCGGTAAAGTCACGTAGAAGGGAAGTAATAAAATAATAAAAATAAAACATAATAAAATAATTCTCACGATGTTTCGGCCACAACGCAAGCAGCCGTCCTCAGGTGAAAACCAGGTTTGTCGGGGAGACAGCGTCTGAATGAAACAGCACACGAGCTTAGAGCATATATATAAGCTGGGTTGGGAGGGGGGGAAAGGGCGCTTCGACAAAAGAATTTGCATATCAAGAGGAATTTAGCATATTTATGGGAAATGCAGGAATGTGATTAGTACTACATATGCCCGTGCATTATGCAGGATTAGCAGCATCCAAGGGAGGGGATATGGGAAATGCAGGTATGTGAATAGTACTAATTATGCCCGTGCATTATGCAGGATTAGCAGCATCCAAGGGAGGGGATATGGGAAATACAGGTATGTGAATAGTACTAATTCAGCATCAAAGGGAGGGGGTAGGGGCAGCATTAATAAAGGGAAGGAGTGTTAATAGTATGTAGCTGCAGTAACTAAAACCAACACGTAAACAACTAAAGTATAAACTACATAGTATCATCAGCATACTAACTATACTCTACAATAAGCTGAGTTACCAACAGTAAGTAATACATTACAATTCTACGTCGTAAAAATTATATAATATGCTTCCATCTAAACTTTATTCTCTTATATTACACGAGTCTACACCGTACTATATACTGCCATAGACAAACCCAACATTAAATTACATACTGTATTGCTATAAACCACCCTTTACCTTATCCATTGTAATATTACAATATGTATTATTATACCCACCCTAATGTATATCACACTGCTGTATATTCACTATACAATTACGATACTATATATTACTTTGTACACTGTATTAAGCATATAAATGTTATACTATTTGTTATTATACACTGTACCATTGACCGGACGGCTGCTTGCGTTGTGGCCGAAACGTCGTGAGAATTATTTTATTATGTTTTATTTGTATTATTTTATTACTTCCCATCTACGTGACTTTACCGAAAGAACCAAGCAGATGAATCCCTGCAGTCACGAAAGCTTTAAATCGAAAAAAGGCTACGCTTTCTTTCAGTGTCAAATGTATATATATGGTACAATATACACTACATACAACTTAAACAATTAAAATACTGCACGTACAGGGGCTGCTTCTACTTACGAACATTAAACTAACAAACTTTCAGAGATACGAACAAACCTGTCCCATATGTCCAGTTGCAGCTGTTCAGACCAAGAGTCGTAAGTACAACCGCAGCGCAATGAATGGCGGTGGTGGGATATAGATCTGCTGAAAATGAAGAACCAGTGGCATCTACATCTACAAAATATGAAGAACCAGTGTCATCTACATCAACAAAATATGACGAACCAGTGGCATCTATATCTACAAAATATGACGAACCAGTGGCATCTAGATCTACAAAACATCAAGAACCAGTGGTGTCTACATCTACAAAACATCAAGAACCAGTGGCATCGACATCCCCAGACCATGAAGGAGCAGTGGAATCTACATCTGCAGAACATCAAGAACCAGTGGCATCTACATCTGCAGAACGTGAAGAACCAGAGGCATCTACATCTGCAGAACATGAAGAACCAGTGGGATCTACATCTGCAGAACATGACGAACCCGTGGCATCTACATCTGCAGAACGTGAAGAACCAGTGGCATCTACATGTACCTAACGTGAAGAACCAGTGGCATTTCCATCTGCAAAACATGAAGAACCAGAGGCATCTACGTCTGCAGAACATGAAGAACCAGTGGCATCTACATCTGCAGAACATGAAGAACCAGAGGCATCTACATCTGCAGATCATGAAGAACCAGTGGCATCTACATCTACAGAACATGAAGAACCAGTGGCATCTGCATCTTCAGAACATGAAGAACAAGTGGGATCTACATCTGCAGAACATGAAGAACCAGTGGCATCTACATCTGCAGAACATGAAGAACCAGTGGCATCTACATGTACATAACGTGATGAACCCGTGGCATCTACATCTGCACAACATAAAGAACCAGTGGCATCTACATCTGCAGAACGTGAAGAACCAGTGGCATTTCCATCTGCAGAAGATGAAGAACCAGTGGCATCTCTATCTGCAGAATATGAAGAACCAGTGGCATCTACATCAGTAGAACATGAAGAAGCATTGGCATCTACATCTGCAGAACTTGAAGAACCAGTTGCATCTACATCTATAGAAGATTATGCAACATTTAAAGCAATTCTCCGTGTTCAGTGTACAACACGTTTGGAATCGACAAGAGGAAAGTTGGACTTACGATCAAATCAACTTACGAACAAACATCTGGAACATAACTAGTTCGTAAGTAGAGAAGTACCTGTATTTATGCCTCACCCATGATGCAGGGTCTTCGAGACTGGAGTGGTATGTACTATGTACGGTACACAGTAAATACAGTAACTCTTTTTTACTGGAGGATATTTTTTTGCGTCAATGTGTACGTTTTTTGCTGTAAATTGTACATTGTAAACAACATTTGAAACACTAAAAAAAAATACTCGCACACACTACACCTTAAAAATATTTGTGAAATGGTAAGGCTGGGAACGCATCTTCATAGGACTAATTTGAGACTTTTTCACTATACAACTTTTAATATACAAAATTATATCGTCTTTCCGTTATCATTGTTAATTGTCCGTGTTAGACAATATGCATGGTAAGTTATGAAGTGGTTAGAGTGTGAAATGGTAAGTTACCAATGCTGGGAACGCATCCTCACCGGACTGTTAGAAGTTGATCACTATACGATGTTTCAATATACAAACTACTTCGTATATCGAGTTATTACTTTTAATTGTCTTACTTTAAAATATGTAATGGTAAGTAATGCAGAGTTTGTAGTGTAAACTGTTTCGTTAATTAGGTTGGGAACGCATCCTCATGAGACTAACATTATAAGTTGCTCACTATACAACTTCTCAATATACAAATAACTACTCCCTATATAGATGTATTGATGTAAATTATGTTGGTTTACAAGATGAATGGTAAGTTATGAAGTGTTAACAGTGTGACAGGATAAGTTACGAAGAGAGGGAATACATCCTCATAGGACTATTGTTATAAGTTACTCATTTTAAGACTTTTCAAAACAGTAATAACTACTTCATATATCGAGGTATCAATGTAAATAGTTTTTTTTAAATATATGATTGGTGTGTTATGCATTGTTTATATTGTTAAATGATATGTTACGAATGTCATAAACGCATCCTCACAAGACTAACGTTATAAGATGTAACTTCGACTTTACATATCGAGTTATTCTTGTTAATTGTCTTTATTTACAATATGCAATGATAAGTTATGAAGTGGTTATAGTATGAAATGGTAAGCTACAAAGGTTCGGAACGCATCCTCACAAGACTAATGCTATAAATTACTCAATATACGACGTTTCAATACAAGAACAACGACTTTTCATAATGAGTTATTACTGTTTATTGTCTTTGTTAGACAATATTAATGGTAAGTTATGGAGTGGTTGTAGTGTAAAATGGTAAATTACTAAGTCTGGGAACGTCTCCTTACAGGATTAATGTTACGAGTTACTCACTATACGTTGTTTCAAGGTAAGAACAACGAATTTGCATATCGAATTATTACTGTTAATTTTCTTTATTTTCAATATGCAATGGTACGTTATTAAGTGTTTATAGTGTTAAATGTTACGTAACGAAGGCTGGGAACGCATTCTCACTCGAATAATGTTATAAAGTACTCACTATACGACGTTTCAAAATACGTTAAACACCGTTCAGAAATGCATCCACTTGATGTAATGTGGCAACTTATACAGTAAATATATTTAAGATACAGCGTTGTGGGATGGCAATCAGTATGAATTACTCAGCAATATCCAATTAAATGATAATATTTAACTATTATAATATTATTTCACAATGGGACCTCTTTTGTAGAATATAGTAGTGTATTGCATAGTATAGTGTAGTGTATAGTGTATTCTAGTATAGTGTATAGTAGTTTAGTGTATCGTGTTGTGTGTAGTGTGAAGTGTATATTTTATATTTGTTTTATATTTATATTATCTTATTATTTCCCTTCTACGTGACTTTACCGAAAGAACCAAGAATATGAATCCCTGCAGTCACGAAAGCTGTAAATCAAAATTTAGTGTATCGTTGTTTATTATATATATTTAGTGTGTTGTATAGCGTATATTAGTGTAGTGTTTAGTGCAGTGTATACTAAAGTTGAGTGCATAGTAGTTTATTTAAATGTAGTGTATAGTAGTGCAGTGCATAGTAGTGTATCTTACCTATAAACGTCACTTTTAGTCTGTCCGTCTGTCCGTCTGTCCCTCTGCGTACGCTCGCTTTCGAGGGATTTGGCGCTCGGGCCGTGGGATTTAGGAAGAATTTTTTTTGCAGGTGGGCACGCCCCCGGCCCCGCGGTGAACTTAGGCATTTCCGATTTTTCGTCCGTCGCCTTTAAATCGGTCCGATTATCGATTTTGAGCGATATCTCTTTATTTATTTATTTACTATTGCAGACCGGCGCCGACCACGGCGGTTGCCCCTGGCAACGGCCAGCAACGCCGTCGCTGCGGGGTGGACGCCATTTTTAATTTGCGTTAAAATATGCACACGCATTAACACGCGACGCTGAGGTAAATACATCAAAGTTTCACTTCCCCCCCCACCCCAATGTGTGCACTTACTATTATAGGGTCGGTAGATAATAAAATTATAGCGATTAGACAGTATTATTGTAGCGCGAGGGGGGGTGGGGGTAGCGGCTCAGCCCCTAGCCTCGGCCGGGTGGGCGATCTAGGCGAGGCCGGAGGCTCTGCACGGTACTAGGCCTCGACACCCCACATGTGTCAGGCGAAGACTTTGTGCTATAAACTCGATATACCCAGCGTTGCCCGGGGGGAAAATACATTTAAAATCTTCTGAAAACTTTAAAACATTACATACCAATTAAAATACAACTGAATCGCGCGAAGGAATCGATGGTTGTAGATTCATTTAGAATCGCCCTGTTCCCGTTTAAAATAAGTTGATTATAGAGTCGATATAAACTGCTACGAATGGGAAATACCCGGCGTTGATAGGGGCAAAAATATTATTAAAAACTCCTGAAAAATTTCGAACATAACATACCAATGAAAATAAAACTCTATAATTAAAAATGTAGCCCAAGCGCGAAAAGAAGCTATTCTTTGCAATCGTTGCGAAGGAATCAAGGGTTGTAGATTACTTTAGAATCGCCCTACTGTATTCCCTTTTTAACAAACTGCGTGTCGCAGACACACAAATTCACACATTTTGCTTTTACATTTAACATACAAAACGTCAGCATGTACTGCTGTCATCATAGGCACAAATATATACACCCTCACCACTCTCCCTCACCACTCTCCCTCACTCACCCTCACCACTCACCACTTACTATCACTCACCACTCACACTCACCACTCACCATCACTCACCCTCACCACTCACCCTCACCACTCACCCTCACCACTCACTCACCCTCACTACTCACCCTCACCACCACTACTCACCCTCACCACTCTCTCACCACTCACCCTCACCACTCACCCTTCTCCCTCAACACTTACGCTCACCCTCACCAATCATCCTCACCCTCACCACCACCACTCATCCTCACCACTCACCCTCGCCACCACCACTTACCCTCAACACTCACCACCACCACTCACCACCACTCACCTCTCACCACTCACCTCTCATCACTCACCACTGACCCTCACCACTCACCCTCACCACTCACTCTCACCACTCACTTTCACCACTCACCCTCACCACTCTCCACTCACCCTCACCACTCACACTCAACACCTCACCACCTCACCACCTCACCACTCATCACTCACCACACACTCACCACAGACCCCTCACCACTCACCACAGACCCTTCACCACTCACCCTCACCACTCACTCTCACCACTCACTACTACTCACCCTCACCACTCTCCCTCACCACTCACCCTCACCATTCACCCCTTTCCCTCACCACTCACGCTCACCACTCACCAACACCAATCATCCTCACCCTCACCCCCACCACTCTCCCTCACCACTCACCCTCACCTTAACCACTCACCTTCACCACTCACCCTCACCACTCACCCTCCACTCACCCTCAGCACTCACCACTCACCTTCACCACTGACCCTCACCACTCACCCTCACCACTCACCACTCTCACCACTCACCCTCACCACTCACCTTCTCCACTCACCCTCACCACTCACCCTGACCACTCACCCTCACCACTCACCACACACCCTCACCATTCACCACTCTTCTTCACTACTCACCCTCACCACTCACCCTCACCCCTCACTACACACCACTCACCCTCACCACTCACTGCTCTCCCTCACCACTCACCCTCACCACTCACCACTCACCCTCACCACTCACCATCACTGTGGTGGTGGTACCTGCTATCATGACAGTAGTACAAGCTGACGTTTTGTATGTGTAATGTCAAAAGCTAAATTAGTGAATGTGTGTCTGTAAGAAATGTTAAGCATACTTGGCGACACGTAAGCAAGTTTTTTTTTTTAAAACGGGAATAGGGTGAGTGGTGGTGGTGAGGGTGAGTGGTTAGGGTGAGTAGTGAGGGTGAGTAGTGAGGGTGAGTGGTGAGGGTGAGTGGTGAAGGTGAGGGTGAGTGGTGATTGGTGAGGGTGTGATTGGTGAGGATGAGTGGTGAGTGGTGAGGGTGAGTGGTGAGCGGTGAGGGTGAGTGAGGGTGAGTGGTGAGTGGTTAGGGTGAGTTGTGAGGGTGAGTGGTGAGGGTGAGTAGTGAGTAGTGAGGGTGAGTGGTAAGTGGTGAGGGTGAGTGGTGATTGTTGAGGGTGTGATTGGTGAGGATGAGTGGTGAGTAGTGAGGGTGACTGGTGAGGGTGAGTGGTGAAGGTGAGTGGTGAGTGCTGAGGGTGAGTGGAGAGGGTGAGTGGTGAGGGAGAGTGGTGAGGGAGAGTGGTGGGGGTGAGGGTGAGGATGGTTGGTGATGGTGAGGTTGAGTGGTGAGGGTTAGTGGAGAGTGGTGAGTGGTGATTGGTCAGTGGTGATTGGTCAGGATGAATGGTGAGTAGTGAGGGTGAGGTTGAGTGGTGAGGTTGAGTGGTGAGGGTGAGTGGTGAGGGTGAGTGGTGGTTGTGACGGTGAGTGGTGATTGGTGAGGGTGTGATTGGTGAGGATGAGTGGTGAGTGGTCAGGGTGAGGGTGAGTGGTGAGCAGTGAGGGTGAGTGAGGGTGAGTGAGGGTGAGTGGTTAGGGTGAGTAGTGAGGGTGAGTGGTGAGCGTGAGTGGTGAGCGTGACTGGTGAGTGGT